GTTTAAGTATATTGATTTAGTTATAATTTTGTTATTTGAGCCTAATAAGATTTAAATTAAGGTTTGGTTTTCATTATAAGGGCTAATGGTGAAAGTTTGTGATACTAAATAAAGGTTTTTAATTGATTAAAATTTATATGAATTGAAAATTAGCCTAGTGATGGCTAATAAATGGTTTTGGTGGTTAAGTGATACTATATGAATGGTTGGTTTAATATATGGACTATTAGGATGGATTATAGCTCATTGACCTAAGTTGTATGGTATGAGTTATAGTCTTCATTAATGCTATTTGTCATTATAAGTGATGTGGACCACTTATATGTTGTAGGGAATTGTTGGTGGAACTTATTGAGAAGTTAAGGAATAAGCCAAGTCTTATTTTGTACAAAAGGAACCCTTTTAGTACTAAAGGGTTGAGGCAATAAGGGAATTTGTATTTCTTATTACTTTGTTTAGCTATTTTTGAGTAGATAATATTATCTAGCATGCATTACATGTTTTAAACAATTGAATGCAAATAAAATGTGTTTTAAAAGGGTTTATAGGGTATTGCTTTAATACTAATGCATATATATTTACTATTTATTTAATAATGATGTTACTTATGGACATAAGATTATTAGCATGCATTATGATAAAAAAATGAGGAGTTGTACTTAGGAAAGTACAACTAGGTTTGGTACCTTAGATAGGTTAAGGAATCGCTTAATAGATGAATTATGAGTGTTATACTATCTTGAGTGTTGATGTAGTCAATACTCAAGAAAGGTAGAAAAAGGGTAGGAGGCATGATCTCAATGGGAGTTTACCAATATAAAGATATGGTCTTGTGATATTTTATGGCTCACTATCAGTACTCAATATTGCCTTTCATATTATGGGTTCAGTACACTAAAGTAGTTAATGGATTGAGTATTCAACACCTCTCAGTGGGAGAGGGAATCCGGCATATAAAGTGTGCAGTTGAGTGCCTAAGCCAAGGTAGCCTTCACATAAAGAGTAAGTCGGGCTAGCTTTGGGAGGGAGTTAGCTTTGATGGCTCAGGATTCACATCGAAGGGGCACAGGCAGTTTAATGGATCAGATCATGCCTTCCTTTATATCTTGTGCCTGTGAAGGTACAGTAGGTATAAGGTTTACCTACAAGCTAAAGAGTGTCAGGGGGTATTTTGTTGTCAAGAAAGGCTATATCGGCCTATCACATGCATTCAAGCATTTTAATTAGTTAATTATATGTTATTTTGAATATATATTATTTACTTACTTGACTATGGCTTTCCTTGTAATAAGGAATATTGATTTCTCTGTTATTGAGATTGTGGTTGTCTCACCCCTTTCTTTTCAATATTTCCAGGTTCAGGCGAAAGAACCAGTGGTGGACGAGGAAAGGAGCAGAGCTAAGGGTTGTTTGTAGATTGTAAAGAACTGCAACCCCTTTCTTTTGAGTAAATCTATTATAATGTATTTAGAATTAGGGTGCCAGTAGGATGTGATTATGTATATATGTGTGCGAGTATGTGTGGATTGTATGGCTTGTGTATGAATTTTTTGTTTGCTTCTAGGCTTGTGGCTAGAAAACTTGATTATGGTGTGTGGTTTTGATGGATTTATTTATTAGACCAAGTTTTCACTATAAGCAAATATTTATTTTGATATATATGTGATTCTAGAAGTAAATGCAAAGTACAAATGATGTGCTATGGGCAAACATACACCTTGGTCTGAGATGATCTTATGGTTTTATGTTGGGGTGATTTGGAGGTTTGGTTGGTAGAGATCATACTAGTATTTTATGATATGATGAAATATCTTGAAATAGCATGAAATCCTTCGGGATTGATGAAAAGTGAAATATAAAAAGTGATAAGATGTAAATACTACTTTATAAGCTTAGGAATCTTACCTTTAATGTTGAAAGCTTCAAAATACTTCCAATACTTCTAAATTCCAAGCCCTAGTAGAAGTTTTCACATCCTCCTTGTTTCCTCTTTTTGTTTCTTCTCTATTCTATGTCTGTTTCATCTTCTTACCTTTATAGAAACACGACCGTGTGCTATGGTTCATGAACCATGCACTGTGGCATGTAGTACAAAAAAACCTACCTCACTTTCTGGTGGCACATGTGCCATAGCATGTGGTATAAAGCTATTTCTCTTTGTCTTTCTCACTTTTTAATGTTTGATTGCCCGACTACCTTCTAGACTTAACCCTAGGAATAAGAATCACAACCAAAATATTCATTAGCTCTCTGTAACCAAACACCACATTAATTACCTAATTAATCTCATTTACCAAGCTAATCAGAGATTAATTTTTCTAATATGTTATACCACCCCACTAAAATGCCCCAGTTAAGGTTAAATTGAGCTCACAACTCCAAAGCTCAATCCTTAATCCTTAAATTAGTTGCAAAACTTTAGTTTCATACCTAATAACTTTTTCACAAAACAAAAGGCCAGAAAATAAATTCTTAAAACTCCCTTACTCAGTTTCTTCATACCTTAACCCAAGAGAAATTAAAGTATAATAGAAGTATAGCATTACAAAATTTACTTGATAAGCAACAAGTTGGAAATGTCTCCTGGTACCTGGAAAACACATGCCCTAGTAGAACTCCACTTTGTCTCCCTCTCCTTTGTTCTCTTTTCTTTATTTTTTTCTTAGTACGTACTTATAAAACACAAGCCCTAGTAAAAGTTTCTCTATTTTCTCCTATGAGCTAGCGCATGCGACATATGTCGCAGCACATAGCACAATGTCAAACTTCTCATTGCAACTCACATACTTCATTTTGAACCGCCATTCTTCCACCCATTCCTAACCATCCACCAATTCAACTAGTCAGATTACCAATTCACCTTCCAAAATCCTGACTATTAAAATAATAGTAGTTTTTTGCAACTTAATATAAGGGTTTTCAGCATTTAGAATTAGAAATTGAAAGGAGTTTTTGCATGTTTCAAGAGTTTAGGGTTCAGGATGCTATTCACGTAATAGTTTAGGGTTAAGGATGCCTATTAACCCAAAAAATAATACCAAGATAATGTTTGATACATGGAAATTTTTTTTAGAAAGAAAATGATGAGAAATTTACAAATAAAGAAAATGAGATAGGTATATTTCTTGTTTCCTTTTTATGGAGTCTTTCTACCTACCAAACATCACATTAAGAGCTACCTCCACGTAAAATTCAAGTAGTCTTCATAGAAATAATGAGTATACTAGAAACGTAAGATGGAATAGAAGAATAACTTATGAGGCATAAATTGAGAAAATTAGTTTTAAGGACAAAACTTAAAAATTATTTATTTCTAAAAATTACTAATGAAGAATACTCATTGAAGAAAATTACTCCCTAACACATGATTGAAAATAAAGTTTTAGGGGAAAATACCTAATTATCCTTGTTGCATTTTACAAGTCTTTCTCTAGTATAAACAACAAAGCATTTCACTATTAACAAGTTACCTAACATAGGTTTGTTCATGAACATAAGTTACAAAAATTTATAGGCTCGATTTATTGTTTATAGCTTAATGGTAACTTGTTGACAGTCAAATGCTTTGTTGTTTATGCTGAAGCAAGACTTATAAAATTAAACCAGGCCTATAAGTTTCTGTAACTTTTTCATAGATAAATGTCCACTTGTTAATTACATATGATAACTTGTCAATATTGAAATGCTTTGTTGTTTATACTTGAAGGCCTGCTAGTTTTGTAATTTGTTCATGAATGAATTAGCTTGCTAATTATATATGGTAACTTGTCAATAGTTGAATGCTTAGTTGTTTATATTGTAGCAAGCTAAGAGTACTTGCAAAATGCTATTAGGGTAATTAGATCTTTGTCCCCCAAAATCTTATTTTCATATAGGTCCCTAGAGGGTGCAATGATATTTCAGATTTTTATAGTCCTTCTTTGATAAAAAATGATACAGGGGTCCTTAGATTATATTTTTCCAATTTGAAATGTGTTCTAATATTTATTTTGTAATGTTGGTCCTTCGTTGTAATTCTTCCAACATTCATTTATGCAGAGCCAAATAACCTAAGTATGGGGATTCTGATAGTATCAAGATGTTCTTTTATTCGTCACTACCAGATGCAAAGCCATGCAAGGAAGGGGGTGGATGCCGGACGGTCTGGATTACATGCAACGAGATTACATTTTGCTTAAGAGGAAGCAAATATAAGTGGACTAAAATGTTGAGGAAATCGGGGATGATCATCAAATAAATGAAAACTTTGGGAGAAAGGATCGGAATTTGAAGATGATTGCAAATTCTAGCGAAAATATATATGTTATATCAAGCTTTGAAATACTTTTAAGAATTTATATTGATAATTTTTAAAACTTTTTTGTAAGTCACATTCCAGAACTTTCAGTACTTGATACACCCTCCGTTTAATTTATAAAACAATTTTTTGAAATAAAATGTTTAAAAATATAAGTCATTTTGAGTCTTTTAATGTGTAATTAATTTTGTTTCAAAAATACTCTTAATTAGGGGTATAATCAACAAAGTTTTTCCAATAGAGAGATACCTTATTAAATAGGGGCTAAACATGAAAATAATATGTACTTTTAAAAACAATTAACTAAAATATATTTTTGTCAAAATGACTTATAATACTGAACTGAGGGAGTTTTTTCCCTCAAATTGCGTTCATTTTTCCATCTCTATCGTTAATTAGGGCTAGAAGATGTGCCTAGAAGAATCTCTAATTAACAATTTTTAAGGAACTAGATATAAAAAAGTGCTCCTTTTATCGCAAATATGATTCTCGTTTCTCACAAACATCTCATAATATACCAAGAGAATACACATTAATATTGAGATTTGAGAAGAAATCACGCACTGGAAACGACAAACATCCACATAAAACTAGAGACGCATATGGCAATAAATTGCACGCCCTTATTTTCTGAGTCTTCAGCTCGCCTAACAACGCTACACCCTAATCAGTCTTTAAATTACACTCTCTTGCCTCTTTCGATCGACCAGATTGATAATACTAATGTGCATTCTTTCACACAATAATCTAACAAGTGACGCCCAGACAGCTTACTTTTGCTTGGGGCAGGCTGGCCATTTCCAAGATTTGGGAGAGAGTGTCTTGAGAACTGCATTCCTCTCAAAGAAGTTGGTCGGCCTCAGCTCAAACGAAGTGCTCAACAATGGCATTATCGGAAAATCCTCTTGCGCTGGCACGTGATGAATCCCCACAACGTGCCACAACACTATGTCCTTGTTCTCAATATTTCTATTACTGCAATGTTACAATGATATTGAGCAGCTTAATGTATTTATTTTTAAATGTTGAGTGGTTAAAATTGTTAGGATAATTGGTTTGTTTTTAGAATTAATTACCTGAGGTTGTTAGCAATCCTAAACCTTGTATAAAGGTTATCTCATTGTATTAGGAAAGTTTATTCTGTAATCCATTATTTGTTTCTCCCAATAGTTTAGGGATGATTGGTTTTTCATCCTTTAGTTAAGGGTTGATTTGTATCCTAACAATAGAGATTCAGCCTTCTACAAATGAGGTGTGCAAGATTTCGACTAAAAGAATCAAGATGTAAGCATATCCCCAATTGACAAAGCATGAGTTGACGTGCTTAATGAATTTGTCCTCCCCTGACCTTTAAACTCTCCCCCCAAAATCAGGGGGATTCATACCCTCCCCTCCCCTCCTCTCCCTTCTAACTAAACGTAAGGGTTGATTTGTATCTCTTTATTAGTTTAGATTTGATTTGATGTATTGACCATGTTGTTCATATTTGATGAACACTGTTCTTTCATTTTCTTGTTATTTAATTTCGTTCAACTTGCTTAACAGTAAATGTTATACATCAAAGGATTTTTTAGGTGTGAAAGGAAAGAGAAAATGAACTTACTTTTTGGTCCAAACAGCCAAGGTATCTTCTCCACGGCTCTGATCAACATAAAGTCCACCAGCCCACTTCTCGCTCCTGTTATATGGAGTCACCCACACATTATAGTTTGTAAAAGCTCCTCGAATTTGTGGGTAATCATCTTCGACCAAGAGGGGATGAGCTGGCATTGCCGGAATGAGGCGGTAGCCGACTTCATTGCCGACCGAGGTCTTCTTGTTAGGGTTTACGATAGCTAGCTCTGATGGGCTAACTCCTAACCTGATCTTAGCTGCAGATTCATTCTTCAGCGTCTGAGCCTCAGCTACCCAATAACTCTTTCTTTTTGAGCTGCGGTCTGTGACTTTCACTGTCTTCAAATCTGTCTTGACGAAGGAGTTTTCTTCACCGTCAATGTCGAGGTCAAGATGGTAAATATAGAAGTGGTCGTGGTTTATTCCGATGCTGTTCTCCGACACCAATGTTCCGTGTTGCTCTTCCTTTATTTCGTCCTTGTGCTTAATGTCAACCGCCTTAATTTCCAGCATTCCAGAGAGTGCTATCTATTGAATTTGAACATAAGAAACATTACATACATACATACATACATACATACATACATACATATATATTAATTAATAATAATAATAATAAATATTCAGATCTTAAAATGTTCAAGCTAGAAAACTGTTAATATAATAATTAATTTTAAGAATCAAAGTTCTTGTTATCATATATTAGTGATATTACTGTCTAATTTTTACGCTGTCATTTTAAACTTTTTACAAAATAACATAGTTATAATATAATAGTAACCTTCAAAACATGTTCTTTAACATAAATTTTGAAAATAGTTACAAACTGTAGTAAGAAATCAATACAAATTCTCAATATAATTTAAATTTAAATTTTAAAATGTAATTTTTTTAAAAATTTGTTGGATTTAATTAGTTTTCCGCTATTTGTCAATGACCCTTTGATCTAATGACATTCATCCTTATGATCCTACCTCTTGATGCAAGATGTTAAATGATAAAACCCTGACGTGGGGAAAAAAATCTGAATGCGTAAGATTGTTGTGTCATGTGTGTGCTGAGTAGGTGAAAGAGTTAGATATAATGTTAAGAAAATTTGGTATTTGGCTATTTATCGTCCGCATTCATAAAAAATAGATTTTTTTAGGAGGTGGGGCCGGAAGCAGGTAATTAAGGAAATAATGTTTGACATGTGATTAACGTTGAATTAACCTTCTTCAAGTAGATTCCCAATTCTTTCATATATGTTTAATGTTTAATGGAAAAGGATCTAAGTTGGATCAATGATTTGCTGCTTGCCGACATACGATCCCTTGCCTGTAAATTTAATTATGTATTTTTCAATTTTTCTTTTATTTTTCAAGTGATGTGTAATACATTGAGAGCTGGACCCACTGTCTAGTGTGTTGGGTCTTTTTGCATGGTGCTTTTCTTTATTTGGTTAAAAAAAAATTAATCATTTAATTTTTATAATTTCAACCTAATTATAATTTAATTTTTAAATTTTATCTCTTACAGTTCAATCTCTATAATTTTAACTATTTAAATATTAACTTTTATATTTTAAAAAATTATAAAGATTAAAATCATGTTAAAATTTATTCTTAATATTTTTAATTACTAAACCCTTTTAATCTTATTTTTAATCTTTATAATTTTATTTTTAAGATATAAAGATCAATATTTAAATTATTAAAAATATAAGGATTGAATTGCAAGAATTAAAATTTAGGATTGAGTTACAATTAAGTTAAAATTTTAGGGGCTAAATTATATTGAGTTAAAAATTACAAGCACCAAATTAAATGATTAATTTTTTCTTTGATTAATAATATTTTATTTTACTTCAAAAAAGAAAAAGAAAATTAGCTGGTGATTCTTGTGGCTCTTTCGGTGTTTGCTATGAGAGCGTTTAAATGGGAAACCCGGGGGGGGGGGGGGTGGGGGGAGATGCGTGCCCCAAGCTTGATGGAGCCACTGGGCTTGAACTCCCAATCGATAATGTTGTCGTAGTTGCCTACCGTCACCACCGATCTCACCACCAAGCTTACGTCTAACCTGACCTCGCGAACCTATGAACATTAACAGCCACAACGAATCAAATTACCACATTTTTAATCACAAACGATGATACAATAAAAGAAGATTCTGCATTTTTTTTTATTTTTTTGAACCAAAAAAAAACTCACAGTTTGATTGGGAATGCTATTCTCTATGTGACGCCACGAGATCACGCCATGCTTTTCAAAGATACAGAAGGCATTTTGGAGGAGGGTGGGGTTTCCAGCACGGTCATGGAGGTAAGCATCCATGAACTGAGCATGAGGAGGACAATCTCGGTCGGGCTCCAACGACACCACGGACCGTCCGAACCCGTATTCGCCGGCATCGAAAAATGTCTTATAGTACCATTCATCGGATGGATCCTGGTAAGGCACGAACAACTCCGAGATAAAACCTCTATGAAGCACCCTTCGAAACTTGTGCTTGTCCAGATCGTAGATTGATGCCAGCGATATTACTACTCCTGCTCTCACATCGTACCCAACATGGAATTTCCAGTTTGGCCAGCTACAACAGATCACAATACATGCTACGTTTACTCAAATCAAATTATGCCCACGAAATATGGATCACGGCGAATCGTATGAAGACTCCGTTTTTATTAATTATTTTTTTGAAAAGAGGAACGGAGAGTAGCATTCAACGACCTCTGGAGATATTTTATAGCAAATAAGGACTAAAACATTATGATATATCACTGCAGAACCAATATATGCACTAATTTAAAAATAATTTTAAATGAAAAAATACTATAATATTCATTAAATATTTTTTTAAAAAAAAATTGACCATATTAATCAATAGTATTCATTTTTTAAACTTGTTCCCATAACAACGCTTAGCTTGTTTGTCTCAAACAAAATAACTATTTTTTGAATTTGTTAATTTTGAAATTGACATTTGTGAAAATAGAACAAGAATTTATTTTTTAAAAAATAATAACTTATTCGTCAGATAATAATACATATTCCTCTCAAGTAAAATAATTATTTTTTAAAATACATGTTAATTAAAAAATGTCTTAGTCAATGTTTGCTATAAAATATCTTCAAATGTCTTTCAATGCCATTCTATCCAAAAGATGCTATTGATTAATATGGTCCCACCCAATTCCTACAGTCTTATCTCTTTCATGTTTCAACCAAGCAGATATGCATTGCCAGACTCCAGTTCCAGGGCCCCCCAAGTATTTACCCCAGTCCTTTATAAAAAAGTTACATTTTAAAAAAATTTATAATCCTTATATAAAAAATAAATTAAAATTACACAAAAGAAAATTAAAGCATTTGAATAAATGATGTAATTAATAAAAGTAAATTATAAAATTATTTTTTAAATACAATATAATTAATAATTTAACTACCTCTTGTTAATTTAATGAAGTAATTAGAAATTATTTATATATAGGGTCAGAGATAATGAAGTAATCAACTACGTCAGCTGCCCCAAAAAAAAAAAAAGATTATATTTATATATCTAATATTGTTTATGCAAAGTGTAGCAGTAGAGAAGAAACATCCGGACTTATCTCATATTTTGGTAAAATAATGCATCCTCAATTTATATTAAAACAAAAGCATTATAGTACACATGACTTTCTATAATTCTTTTGAAAATTTTTTGAAAACATTTTAAATACGAACTTTTGAAAAAAAACCATGTTCCAATAATGCTTAAAAAATTTGTGGACCAATGATTTATAAATTATTTTGCTAATTATTTATAAAAAATACGTAAACATGAAGATCTAACATGTACTCTCTTTAGTTGGCAAAAAAAAAAAACTCTCTTTAATCTTATATATAAGTCTTTTTTTTTTTTACTTTTAATTAACTTGTCATATCCATACTAAAAAATATATATATATTTAGAGATTAGTCGAGACATTAAAATTGCCATGTAGTCAACGCAATTAGAAATAGTTCTAAACAATACCCTTATGATCAACTACACTAAAATTCATCTTCATACCAACTTTTACTTCGGCTTATTAACTGCTTCAAGGCCTGAGTTTCCGGTATAAGGCCTGCACTAAAAAACTACATTTCTTATTAAAAATGCAAATCACAGTAGATAAGGTCCGGAACGCCAAAGTTCTTCCGGACGTCGACCATTATCTTTTGTTAAGGTGGGGTGGGATTACATCTAAATAACTGTTACTGCAGTCCCATGAGTTGGTAATGAGGACGAAGAGCTAGTGTTGGAAAAACAAAAAACAAAAGCAAAAACAATAATTGGTCGATTGAGATTCGTCACCCATCACCTCTCACCCCATGATTAATTAACCTTCTATTTGGATGAGAATAAAAGTTGAGAAAAAAAGAAAATTGAAGAAAAGAAAATGGAGAGAAAAATAAATTGAGGAAAAAACTTTAAGGCCCACATGTTAGATTCTACACATTAAGATATGACAATTTTTAGAATTTTGGGATATGCATATACTATACAGATACATAATTACTATATACTTAGTTGCATCCATACTCAACAGATCAATTTACCATAAAGTGAAAAAAAAAAAGAAGTATTGAATATTTTACAAGCTGGTTTTTTTTTTCTTTTTTTGAAGTATCCACAACTACTATATCCATACCGTGTTACAGTGCGTATCCTATACTAACATCATCAGTGCATTTAAGATTTTTGACTTCACTTGCTTCTGATGTTGATTTTGTAGCACCCAGAAACCACGTTTTGTTAATGCTTCCAACAAAATTGTGCTTTGACGCCATATGAATGTGGCTCTAATAAACGTGCCATTTATCTAAACTTCCATTTATGCTAACAGAAGAGGACATCATTTGCAGAATCTCATGTTATGGGCTAATCCAGAGCGAATGAGTTGTTTAGGAAAAGGATGAACTTCATGTTTTATATTTAACATGGGATAATGAAAATCAATTTGTTAATATCCAGTATAATCTTGCTTGGATTTCTCTTTGCAAAAGTAGTGCCTACGTGATAATCTTGTATGGATTTCTCCTTAGCAATACGCTTGAAAAAGCAAAAATGAATGTTGGTGTTGCTTACTCGAAGTGTGAAGACAAAAGAGACGGAAGAAAGAAGGATAGAAGGTGGAACAAAAAGTTTTACTCTCAGTGTCTCTCCGCAAAGTCATGGGTTCTACCCACATTTTTATTCCCACTTTTTTTTTTTATTCGAATTGGGCAAAAGCTATTTTTCTATTTTCTCTCTATATTTTATTTCTTTTTCCTTCCACTCAAACAGAACATAAGTTTATTAGCTTCTAGAAACCAGAAACTGCTTACTCGGATAGCAGTGAGGTCAGTAGCATAATCTATACACGTACCTGACGCTGTGGCCTTGGATCTTGAATCCCGGTCCTTCCGGTTGAATGGTGGCTAGGCCGTGGAGCTTAGGACCAAAGGGTGGCTGTTGATGGTCAGCTCGATACTCAGTATTGTCGGCCTTAGGCAAAGGCTCGACGGATCTATCCTGGTACTGAATAATCTGCATCTTGTCAATATCCACCATTATGAGCATCCCACTAATTGGCCTCACATATATATTGGGGGTCTCACCCATCATAAAACACTCCACCTTCAAAGCTCTAATGCTCTTAATCTCGCCGTACCACCCCATAGTAAAAGGGCAACACACAACGTCCGACAAGTTGAGCCCTCTCTTGTTGACGGACTCAATAAAGGGACCGTACTTCAATGGAAGCGAAGTGGCATTTACTTGTTCCTCAGCCGTCATGGTGGGGAAACCGTTACCTGTGTGGACATTATCGTAGAGGATTTGTTGGTTTTTAAGGTTGATAAGGATCTCGTGGATTTGGGATTCAATAATGGCGTTGACGAAGGCGAGGCGAGGGATGTGTACGAGGTTGTTGGTCGGCGATGAAGCCCATTTGAGGAGGGCGGCCTTGTCGGGGTCGTTGAGGCCGATATAGTGGAAGTCGGTGCCGGCGGAGGGGTATTTTTGGAGGACGACGGTTCTGATGAGAGTGACCTCTTGTTGAGTGAGAGGGTCAAGTGGGTGTTGGGTGGGGATGATTGGAGAAGCTGAGGAGACAGCTTGGAGATGGAGAGAGAGAAAGAAAGCCATGGCTTACTTCCTCCTTCTCCTTCTCTGAGCGGAGCTTACTCGGCGCAGAGAATGGGAAGCACAAGGTGCCCTTCACTTAAGTAGGCGCTGTGCGCTGCATTCATCAACGAAGTTTCCACAAATTGTGAGAATTGTCGCATTGTGAGAATTGTCGCACCCAAATCGTGATCTCTTCAATGAAGGAAGGCCGATGAATGTATGAAAATGAGAGTCCTCGTCAAAATTTTTAAGAAAACCTTAAAAAACTGTATAATGAAAAAAGATAGTCTGCGAAAAAAATTCGGAAGTTGATTTTTGTGGGGAAGGTGTTAGGTACCCCATGACACCCATTCATAAGAACGGTTACCCTAAGTTGATTGCGTAAATTAATTGACCTTTTAATAATATCTTAATTATCCTTTATTTCACATGGAAAAAAAAAAGATAAAAAAATAAAGGAAAACAAATTATTTATTTACATAAGAAGACTTAACCTAGGGTCAAAACCTAAGGCCTACATACCCTGTAATGGGAATCAAAGTCCACGTAATTTAAATATTATTATTTAATCTTTTTTACGTTCTTTTAATTAATTTTTTTTATGAAGAGAATGATATTTTGGGTTATATTTTTATTTATTATTTTTATAAAAATTCATTATTTGAAAATACCTTTGGGTAGGAAGAAAATAACCAGTTTTGAAACCTGTAGTGATTTAGTACTGCTTACAGTCCATTGGTTGATACTCTAAGTACATGGTGATTTAATATCACTCGTGGTAAACCCTAAGGGAAATTTCTAAGTAAATAATTTTCTATAAAAGAATTTAAATATTAAGTTTTAGAACAAAATTTGATACTTGCGATGAATTAGTGTCATTCACGGTTTCTTCTTTTGATATTTTTAGGGATCAAAGGTGATTTAGTATCACTCATGACATAACTTAAAATTTGCTAAGAGTTTTATTTTTTTTAATAAGGTACAAGAGGGGGAAAATTAACCACTATTGGAACCTACGGTGATTTAGTATCACTCACAGTTCATCAGCTGACGTTCTAAATGCACATGGTGATTTACTATTACTCATGACAAACCCTAAAGGAGTTTTCAAAAGAAAAAAATTAATTTAGTTTTGAAAAATATAAAATTTGATACCTATGATGACTCAGTGTCACTCATAGTATCTCATTTAATATTTTTTAAGGATTCACGATGATTTAATGTTACTTATAAAAAATCAAAAAGATTATACTTTATGAGAGCCTATAAAATTAAATCCATTTTCTTTTTACGGATTAATACCAAAATTTATGAGACCTTTTGTTTTTCTAGAGACTAGGTTGATTATGGGAACACGCTAATTCCATCTATTCACGCTGATCATCTTGACTTATATGGCCATGAAATAGTTTTATATGGAATGATTGTACAAGTACTATTGAACAAGAGAAAGGGGAAACAAAGATAAAGGATAAAGCGATGAAAAAAAAAAGAACAAAAAGAAGACAAAGAAAAAGCAAATGGTGCCTCTCAATTTTGCTAGAAACGATAAAGATAAAAGAAAGCAAAGAAGAAAAATAGTAAAAAGGAAGGAGAGGATTAATATGAATATGTGGCATTCCAATGTCTGATACAAATACCAACAAAACAAGAAAAAAGACACTACTCTAACTATTAGACTTAAAAGGTAATTCATAGCTTCATAATCTTTTGAGCATGAAAGGTACATAATAGTGATATATTACATTTCCTCACTGTTCTACCACTCTTCCAAGAATGAAAATATGAAAAGCATGAAAATCGTCTACATACCTTTAATAATTTCACTGTTTGTCCTCACTTTTCTCCAGAACTTTTTCCCCACTAATTTCTTCTTCTCATTTTTTCCCCAGTCCTTTTCTCTTTCACAACTATCTCTTTTATAGGTACTAACTAGGGTTCTTTCACTTAATGATAGAATCAAACAAAAAAGAAAATTTTTATTTTGACACTTTTTCATTATTTTAGATTTCAAATTTTTTCCTTAACAAATTCCAGTCAAGGCATAATTTTCTCAAATCAAATTTCAAATATTCTAAATTTCCTTTTAAAAAAAGTTAAATTTAATGGGAACATAATTAAAGGGATTTGGGGTAAAAAGAAATATATTATTGTTAATATTATCATAAAAGCCCCCCTCTTTTATTCCTTTATTCCTTTATTTTATTTATTATGCTTTTATTAATTTTTAATTTATACTTGAAAGCTCAGACAAAATACAATGTTTACAATTGCCCCTCTTTACTTGTTTCATAAGTGAGAGGAGTGAATGTATTTTTCTAAAATTCTCGCTTAAGAAGCAACTAAAGATAAGAACACATATTTTGCTCGATTGAAAGTACAAAACCAAGACAAATTATTGTAAGTGAAAATAATAAACCCCCTCATGCTATCATAAGGATCCAAAGGCATTTGGACAAAATGTCGTGTCTATGCCCCTCTTTACTTGGTTCTTAGGGGGGAAAGTGGATGGAAGAATGTGAAAAGGGTGTCAGCCATTACAAGGCTTCTAAAGAGGCGCCAGCTATTACTAGGCTTTGTGGTGCTCGCTGTTACAAGGTTTTAAAAGGGGTGCCAGCTGTTACTAGGCTTTAGAGTGCCTACCATTACAGGGCTTAAAAGGGGGTACCAGCCGTTATTAAGCTTTAGGGTGCTTGTTGTTACTAGGCTTTGAAAGGGGTGCCAGCCGTTATTGGACTTTGAAAGGGGTGCCTGTCATTACTGGGCTTCAATGTGCCAGTCGTTACTCGGCTTCAAGGTGCCTACCATTACAGGGCTCTAAAAGGAGTACTTGCTATTATAAGGCTTGAAAAGGGGTGCTAGCCGTTACTAGGCTTTGGGATGCCTGCTATTACAGGGCTTAAATATGTGCTTGCCGTTACAAGGCTTCAAAAGGGTGCCAGTTATTACTGGGCTTTAGGATGCGTATCGTTACAGGGCATTGAAAGGGGTGCCAGCCATTGTTGGGCTTAGGATGCCTATCATTATAGGGCTTTAAAAGGGTGCCAGCCATTATTAGGCTTTAGGATGCCTGCCATTACAAGGCTTTGAAAGGGTGCCAGCCATTACTAGGCTTCGGGGTACTTGCCGTTATAGGGCTTTGAAAGGGTGCTAGCCATTACTGGGCTTTAAGGTGCCTGCCGTTATAAGGCTTTGAAAGGGTGCCAGCCATTATTGGGCTTCGGGGTGCCTGTCGTTACATAGCTTTGAAAGGGTGCCAGCCGTTACTGGGCTTCGGGGTGCCTTCTGTTACTAGGCTTTGCAAGGGTGCCAGCCATTATTAGGCTTTAGGGTGCTTGCTGTTACAGGGCATTGAAAGGGTGCCTGCCATTATTAAGCTTCAGGGTTCCTGCCGTTACAGGGCTTTGAAAGGGTGTCAGGCATTACTGGGGCTTCAGGATGCCTACCATTACAGGGCTTTAAAAGGGGTGTTAATGGTAGTGATAATGATGATGATGTTGATGAAGATGATGATGATGATGTTAACGAAGATGATGATGACGACGGTAATGGTGATAGTGGTGGTGATGATAATGATGATGATGATGATGATGAAGATCGTGGTAACAAGCAAATAAAAATTAAAAGAGGAAAGAGAAGAAAGGAAAAAAAGAAAAGAAGAAAGAGAGAAAAAAGGGAAGAAAGAAAGAAGAAAAGGAAGAAAGAAAGAAGAAAAGAAAGAAAGAAAAGGAAAAACCCAATATGCAATATTATCCTCTTTAATAAACACCTAACCAGACCTCGGCTACTTGCATGTTCGATTAAGACTTCTTTTTAGTTATACTGATCCTTATAGGCATTGTTGCTCATGATCCCTTGATATATATTAAATACGATTAGCCTTTCGACTTCAAAGTTTATCCTTAATTGCAAGTACTACTAATACACCTGAAGCTGCACTGGTTAATAAGGAGTAGAGTATACCATGTGTAATACCATGAGCATTTATTGAGACCAAAAAGGTGCTCCTTTATTAATGATATGCTTTCTTCTACAAACTGAGAGTACTAAGTTTATTAAGCTATTCAAAGGAAGAGGCAACAAATAATCAACAAAGAGAGGGATTCATTTAAAAGAAATGACCCCAATAGATCATAATGCGAATGTATGCAAAAATATAGGGAAAGGCTTTGATGACTATAGGGCAAATTTAGTTGCATAATAATGAAAGATTTGTAATGCTAATAGGATGTCCTTTACTTGTGATCCATATAATACCTTTGGGTGCCTTGCTATGTTGCCAAGGATATGCACTTTATGAGTGATGACTGAGTTATTCTAAAGGAAACATTGCTTGGATGGTCACAATGAGAGGTAATGTTGGTAATTCGATAGTCTTTAGGCCTCTGATATACTCTAGATTGCCCTTTTAGGATTTCAACCTATCTTCTTAATGCTCTAACTTTTGCTTAAGTTGTCCCTTTTAATCTGCAACCTAGCAAGCTCTTTCTTTTTTTACTCTAATTTGTTGCCTAGGTTGCCCTTTCAGGTTTTCAACGTAGCGAGCCTCTGTGTGTGTGTGTGTGTGTGTTTTTTTTTTTGCTCTAACTTTTGCCTATGCCGCCCTTTTGGGTTTTTTGACCTTTATATTTGCCCTAGTCTAGCATATACATTTTTTCAGTGCAATGAATGACATAAATACATTTGAACCCTCTCTTTTTTTTTTATTTTCTTTAAAAGACCGAGTTCCAATTCATTCTTAGGCTAATAACTTACCTTTTGTATGGTGCAAGGTTTAGCCACAAATGCAAGATCACCCTTGTAATAGGGCATTATTAGACATGCAAAGTATGTACTCAAAAAATGCTTGATGCATGATGCATTGAGAATCAGATGTTTTATCTCTCTATCAAGTAGAACTTGATGCATGAGAGTAGTTTGTGAAATATAGGATTACTTGTAATTGGAAAATTTTTTATTGCTTGGCTTGTTACCACAATTTAGATACAAGAAATAGCTTTTGAGGAGTAAGCACGTCTAGAATATTTAAAGATTTTTCATGGCTTAGTTTAAGACA